CGATGATATAGGCGTTGATGGCATTCCTCTTAATGGTTAGCAATTGGTCTCCGATTAGGGATATGAAGACAATGAGTGAAGAGATGGACACATATATGAGTTGAATGGCCAACACATTGACGTATTTACACATTGTTTGCAACAGATATTAGCCATACATGTGATCACCGGTTCATATGACATATGGTATAAAACATTGTAATTATAAATAAAATACAATTAATTAAAAAGATTAATTAAAAACTTTTGATCACTTTCTCGTGACATCTTTGGACACAGTTTTCAAAAACAGATCCAATCGTTGAGCTCATTCAATGTGTTGTGAGCCATGCATTGAGTGGACATCTGGTGGTAAGTCATTGCACTTCACGTGTTATACGAGTACTGTATTCGTAATACAAACCGTTTGACGGCAGGTGTCCTAACACTACATGTTTTGATGTAAACAAACTTAATGTACAGTATAGTCAATGCACTCAATACTGATAATGAGTTCATATATTTAGACTACAATTATGTAATCCACAACTGAATCAAATCATAATCACTTTTGATTTATAAAATGTGATAAATAGTACAAATGTATTGCATTTAACACAATGTGTAAAACTAATAGTGAATATACGGTGGTGTCGACTGTATATATGGTATACCAGTGTAAGTGTGTTTGGCTGACGTAACCCCACATGTGTTGAAACATCTCATTGACAGACAGACAGTAAGTGACACTCAGATCGCGATAAAAGTCCACAAAAACACTCAACACTTGGATCTCAACTCAATTCCTCGACTGTCTGTCTGACAACTATCACCACAACTATCACCACAACTATGGCTACATTTAATAGTATCAAAGGTTTGGTGGCTTTCGTGACCGGCGGCTCATCAGGTCTGAGGCGAACATCATGTCTTCATTTGATCCCTATATTGATTACTGATTGTCTGGAAATGGTGTTTAGGTTTAGGCAAAGCGACGGTCGATAGATTGATCCGATTGGGAGCCAAAGGTGTGGTGGCCTTCGACCGCAACATTGAGACCAAATTCGAGGCCAAGAATGTGGTGTCAGTCGAGGGAAGCGTTACCTCCGAAGACGATGTGTTGAAGGCGTTGGACGCGTGCGAGAAGGAGTTCGGCCGCTTGGATGCGGTGGTGAACTGCGCCGGTATTGCATTCGCTAACCACTCACTGTGTCACTTGTGTCTCATAATGATCACCGCAATTGTGTCCCAAAGGCATCGGAATCGCGCGCAAGACATACGACTTCCGGAAGAAAGTGGCGCATCCTTTGGACGAGTTTAAGATGGTGTTAGAAGTGAACACTTTGGGCACTTTCAATGTGAACCGACTGGCCGTCGCACTCATCTCCAAGAACCCGAAGGTCAACGACTTGAAGGGAGTCCTCATAAACACGGCTTCTGTGGCCGCCTTCGAGGGACAGATAGGTATTTGAGTGCAAATCGTGTGTCTCATTGTGCGACCAAATGGTTGTGTTATTGCATTGCAGGACAGGTAGCGTACGCGGCCTCTAAGGGCGGTATCGTCGGTATGACTCTTCCGATCGCTCGCGACTTAGCTGTGGAGGGCATCCGTTGTGTGACTATAGCCCCGGGACTCTTCAA